AGGTACAGACCTGTCGGGACGACTATCGAAATTCACTTTTGGATGGTTTCCCCATACCGTGTACATCGTGGGGGTTATTTGACCATACTTCACCACGCTCAGTGAGGGTTGATGAAGGCGGGGAGAATGGTCATGGCATATAAGTACAGTACAACGATCGATTTTACAGCCGTAACCTCTCCGCTGCCCACCCCATCGCTCCACAGTCACCTATGACAACCTGACTTGCTTGGTGGTCGCTCATCCGTGGACTATTCAAGCTCAACTCTGCTAATCTTCCGAGATCTCATGAAATCATTCCGGCTGATTTGTTTATAGCCCTACAGTGTGTGTGATTTATTTGTTCCGAACATTCACGTCTCGCTGTCCTGTCATGCCAAAAATATCTGCAATCATACCTAATTCTCATAAGTGTTCATGATTGGTCTGCACAAGTCTTGGTGACATGTGAGTCTTAAAGATTGGGTACTGAATCCATGATATTACAGCAAATGCCAAGACTCACACATTGCGTGTGTATGTGTACATGTGGGGAGCGGTCGTGTTTCATTGAGCGTGCTGTGCTACGAACCCGGCGACCGACACCAGTGACGATTATCAGAACTGGTCCTGGGCCTCCCCTAGGTCGAGTCAGCCTAAAATTAGTGCCTAGTGCGGTGTGTGAACATCGCCACTGGGAATACAAAGGCAGCCAGATGTGGGGCTGGCCACAGACCCCCCTCGTGTGCCGTGCCGGCCTTCATAGGTGCTCGCTAAGGGGCAGCCCGTCCATGTCGGCGAACTAGGCGGTTGCCTAGGGCGCCAAGTTAAGTGGGGTGCCAAATTGGAGGAAAAAAATACAAATAAAATAACAAATATGTCATTATTTCGATTCCCATGCGCGTACAGTGGGAATATGAAATATAATTCATTTCTCAACATTTCTGAGAATGTATTAACGTGAAATCTTTTATTTACTGCCAAAAAAAGACTGAAATCTTCTGAAAATGTAGTGTCCCAATTTTATCTGATCTCAGAAACAATGGTTGAAAAGACGGATGGGTGGACAAACCGAATAATTATGCCTCTGTATGAAAAATAATAATACATTGATACTTGCAAAAAAAGGTCCCATTATAATTATGCCTCTGTTTAAAACAATACGCTTAAAATAAACATTAAACGGAAAGTAGGGGCAAAACGTTTCTCAGTTTACAAAAAAGCCTCCGCCTAGATCTGCCCATTGGGGTTTGGCGATGGGGGCGCCGATTGCACGGCTCGCCTCGGGCGCCAGTTGCTGGCAGTCCTCGTTAGTTAACGGCACTTGCCCCAACAGTCTGTCAAGGCTATACATGGGGGGTTACTTGTCTTTGTTTTTTGTGCGTGTGCACATCAGGTGGCAACCATATCGCTGGACGAGATGGCTCTACCAGAGGAAGACGGAGGCCTCACGTTCATCAACACGTTTGCAAAAGGAGTGACGTTCACGGACGGGCACAGAAGCACGGAGCTGTAAGCCGGACATCACGGAGCCATCTCGCTTTCCTTCAGGAGCCGTTTTACTTTCACCGCTGCGGAGTCCGAAGTCCTCCGGGGCTGAGTGACGGTCGCCTCCGCCGAGCGGCGAACTTGGCCGGAGGCCATCGCCGCCGCCGTACCGCACAGCGGGACTCACCAAGTTGCTCGCTCGTCGGCCGAGGAGAGGAGGGGGAGAGCCGAGCGCCGCTCCCGACACGATTGTCGCACATCCCCCCCCACCCCCCCCCCCCCGCAACGGAGTGCACGGCGCGGGCGGTCCACTCGTGAGCGGGGCGAAACTTTCGGGGGGGGGGGGGGGGTGGGGGCGCGCGTGCTCGACGTCAAATCTGGAAGTGGTGCGCAAGAGGCACTCGGCCTGCAGACGCGAAGCCATATCAGGAGCAATAAGCTACGCACGAGGGACGCGCGTCGCTCGCGGTTAGGACCAGGGTCTCGGGCTCGCCGCGGACTCTGCACGTGGTGCACACACGCGGGGGGGGGGGGGGGGCGCGAAGAGGCGTCCACTTTATACGGATTCTGTGACATTGACCCCCTTGTGGCCTTGTGGTTTGACTGTTGAGCTTGGATGGTTTGCGGCACGCGGCCGGGGGGGATTGCCCCCCCCCCCACCCGGGGTCGACGCTCGCCGCTGCGCGTTATTACGCCCGGCTGCTGGGTCTCTGGCTGTGCGCACAATTGTCGGCGGTTACTTTTAGCGATCAGGCGAGGTTGGAAGTGTGTCGAGAAGGGTTGTTCTTAAAACAGGGCTTGTTGGGGCGTCTGGTAGCAGCAAGAAAGGGGAAGCAAATACGAGAGAACAACAGCCAGTCCTGCATACTAACCTTTTATGAAGTTACTTGGGTAAGAGTGTTTATCGAGTAAATAAAGGAGCAGCTGAGCACTGTTTCTAGATTCCCATACACAAAACCCTTCTTGTAGAGCTGATTAGCAGATACATGTATATTTTAAATATCCTCACATTAGTTTTGACGTGATTTCGATTTAAAGCTTTTGTGACTGCAGGGATTCATCTTCTTTGGTTCTTTCGGTAAAGTCACGTAGAAGGGAAATAATAAAGTAAACAAATTTTTTATGTTTTATTATTTTATTATTATGTTTTATTATTATTTTATTATCTTTTATTTCCCTTCTACGTGACTTTACCGAAAGAACCAAGAATAAGAACTTAAACAGTGACTTTGCACCTGGAAAGTATTTGTTTGGAGACACGATGACAGAGATCGAATCACAAGCGGTGGTTTAGAGTTGAGGACGCATATAATTTCACTGGGTTTTACAGCGGAGTCTAGGAATGGTCTTCTCTGTCCCTAAGCTGTTTCTCACCATATCCGTGACTTACAAATATCTCCTTACAGCAAGCTGTTAAATGTAAATATTGTTTTCATAGTGCACATAAGCAGGCATTATATTTCACAGTCCGGCTTCTTTAGGGAGATATATGTGTCTGTCACGGTTTGCTGTGATGTATGCAGGTGGCCGAGGTTGAGCAATTGGGGAGGATGTCTGCGATCATCGGCTCAAAGTCTCGAACGTTCTCGATGAAGGGAGCAAGGCCGCTCCGTAGGGTGATTAGAGAAGAGGATGATCCACAGCAGTCGGGGATGCAGGGTTAAGGAAGGTATTCAAAGAACAGATACTCGAAGCAGTAAATAAAAGCCACCAGCCGCCTATTATGAGATAGACGGGTTTCACAAAGTAAAATTTCAACAAATATTGTAACAAGTGAATGGAGCTGTGGGGGGGGGGGGGGTAATTAAACTAACAATATATAAGTGTGTGTATGTATGTTGGACTTCTTTCGCACCGTACGTAGCCAACCGTGCTAACTGGAGGTGCAGGGGAAGGACGACAGACTAAACACAAAAAGCAGTTCTAAGGAAATGAGTTTTCAATCGAGATGATTTAAAAGTGCCATGGCTCCAGCGGCTCCCGAACATCGGAAGAAAGAGCGTTCCAGACGGCCACGGGCAGTCGAGCGCAGCGTCCGTTCGAGGGAGGTGGTTGGGAAGTGGGGGGGGGGGGGCGAGGGGTGGACGTGCGTATCCTGCGTGCGGACGCAGCTCGGTGGAGACGCGGAGTGCGGACGGTGGTGACGCGGTCGCCGCAGTTTGCCTCAATCCGCGGTGCCGTGTGAGGAACTATTCTTTTCTGTTCACGTCTGTGCCAAAATTTCCGTGAAGTTTCTCTCTTCCTTTTCTTCTTCTTCTACATTTCAACTCCCATCTCATTTGCTCCACTCAGTACGTGTTTTACTGAATAATACAACTCATAATAATAACGTTACAGTATTAATAAAAAAAGAGGAACATGTTCAGAGTCGGTAATATGATGTTTTCTATGGATAAAATTGTATGTTTGTGCTTCAACTGGCAGTGATGTGTGTCTCTTTGGTTGTTTTTTTTTTATTCAAAGGAAAGACATTAAACATCACAGCAATGTTTGCTGCACGCAATCCTACACAAGGCACGCAGCACAAGTCTGGACTCTCTGCTAACCGCCATACAATTTGTAGAAAAACACATTAATATTCTTTATATTTTACATTAATGTGAATATTAAGATTCACATTTTATGCTTCAGTGAACCTCGTTTTAAAAAAAATGAGACGCAATTAAAAATGAGTACTCCAGAAAATGAAGGACAGTCAGCCAAAACGCCAGGATCTTTTGTCCCCTCTGTGACAATTTTGAAAACCCAATTTTTTTAAACACTTATAACATGAAACCAAAGCGGGAAAGCGCATAAAGAAGAACTAAGAGGTTCAATCTGGGAATGAGCACACGCAAATTAACATCAAAATTACGTTCAATAAAAGCTTTTTTGGCGGGACACATCGTACGTTGAACTTCTTTCGCACCGTACGTACGTAGTCAACCGTGCAAATCGGAGGCGTACATGAGAAGGGCCGACGGCGTTTGGACGAGATTAGTGATGGACAAGAAGAAGCCATGCCGGAGAGGATGACCACCGTCGAGTCAAAGCTATGAGATTGGCGTCTGTGAGGAGTGAGGATGACAGCGCCGCAAGACCTTGGAGCAGTGGTGACGTGGCGAGGCCTTCGCCCAGCGGGTGGTTGATAGTGGCTGTCGAATGGAACATTTCAGATAGTTTTGTTGGGAACAAATACATTTTTTGATATTTAGAAAATGAGGCATTTTTTTCACTTTTTTTTTCATTCAGTGATCTTTCATCGTAAGTCGCGTATTATTTTCAGTTTTTACATTTAAAGCGGTCTACCATTTATCAACCTATTTTGGACTAAACATCGAGTGTTTGTGGCTATGCAGTCATGCAAGTTTTAGCAGATGAAGCCAACAAGCATGCACAGGCATGGTTTATATATATAATTATTTCAAACGCGATGGAGATTTATGATTGACATATTGTCAGTTTCGCCGACGGCCAGAGAATATGATGAAAATGCTCTCTGACACTTTGTGCCCACGGGGCAAACGGCACCTCTTGAACGGGGGGGCCTCTGCAACATATAAATCTCACCGTGCGCCACGCACACATCTCAGTGTCGGTGGCGACTGCTTTGGTTAGAGCTCCCCCCACCCCCCACCAACTGAGAGAGCCTGGTCCTACGCAGACACATCTCCAACATAGCATGTCTTCATCTAGCTTCACAACTACCAACATATCGACCAAAGGGCCCTACGTCACCACAATGAGTACCCTGAAAGGCTTGGGCTCTGCTAGCGGTGGCGCCTACAGCTCCAAGAGCTTCTCCTTCGGCGGCGGCTGCGGCGGTGGCGGCGGAGGCGGTGGTGGCGGCGGAGGCGGTCTCGCCTTGGCTTCCTATGGCCGAGGTTATGGCGCAGGGGGCGGCGGGGGCGCCGCCGGACTCGGCTTTGGGCTGGCTCAGTTCGGCGGCGGCGGTGGAGGAGGAGGCGGTGGCGGCGGTGGTGGTGGAGGAGGTTTTGGGAGCAGCGCGTCCTTCCAGGTGGGGCGCTCCGTGGCGTCGGGCGGGCTGCATGGCGCCGCAGCGGCTTTCGGGGGGGGGCGCAGCCTGCCGCCGCTGGTGACGCGCGAAGGACAGAGGACCGTCCTGCGGAGTCTCAACGACAGGTAGACGCCTACCTGTCTCGCATGCACCTGGGTGGAGCCGGCGTCGTGTGGCCGCGTAGCTGCTGCTGAGTGTGCGGGCGGCGAAACTACATCTTGAGCGCGACGTGCGACAAGGCTACGATGAGTGAGGACAATTGGATGTGGCGTGTGGAGGGGGGGTCCCCATTTATTTTCATGCGTCAAGGTCCGCGCCAACTACGCAGCGCCATTGAGCGGAGCAGGTGTCCCGTGGGGTTCCAGTGATGGCGCATTTCACGATTGGCATCCCATGGCAAACGACATTTTGAAATTCTATATTTGAAGCCCCATTGTCGTATGTAAATAATTAAAGCGAAAATGTCTAATGGAATAATTTATCGATACCCCACCGAAATCAGAGGTATATATTTTATTTGTTGTTTTCGAGTACATGCAGGGGAAAGTCACGATGCAACGTAACAACAATGCTTCCCTTTTTTGTTTAAACTTAACGCATGACCTATGGGTATTAAAATGCAGTACATTGTAGTGTTCCTACTTACGAACCGCTCGACTTACAAACGAGTCCCCAGGAACTAATTATGTTCGTAAGTCGAAGACTGTCCATATATAAATACCCTTCATGCACAGTGCCGACCTTAATAAGTGCTCGTTAACAGCACTTGCGCCTCCACGACAGTCCTGTATGGCTCGTACACACGTTCCCATTTTTTTCTCTCCCTACGGCTCTAAGCGAGTTTGAGTCGGTCAAAAGCGATTTGAACCTCTCGCGCGCGGTGCACTAATCACGACACGTCACCCCATCGTTGCCCGCGACGCAACACGCGCCGCCTCCGCGCAGGTTCGCCGGCTACATCGAGAAGGTGCAGCGCCTGCAGGAGGAGAATGTCCAGCTGGAGGCGCACCTCCAGAGCCTCACCGGCGGGGTGAGCATCGCTCCCGTGGACGCCAGCGAGCTGGCCGGGGACCCCACGGCCCGCTTCATGGAGCTGCGCGCCGAGTTCGACGCCCTCGTCCTCGCCAACGTGCAGCTGGAGATCGAGCTGGACAACCTGCGAGCCTTCGCGCAGGAGATGAAGGCCAAGTGCGTTCGTGCGCAGTGCTGTATGAATCTATATATATACATGCAGTGCTCCCCCCCACAACTTACGAACGTCCGCACTTACGAATGTCCACACTTACGAACGCGCTTCCATAAGAGGTATTTATTTTGTAACCGTCCCACTTGAGAATGTGAGCTCGCACTTGCGAACCGAACAGCGGAACGATTTACAATGTTACACGCAAATTTACGACATTTCTCCTTATTTATGAGTTTAACAATACTTCCGGTTTTTTGTTGTTGAACCGTAACACATTTTACAACAAATACGTGCATTTAAATAGAGGACATTGTTGTGTTCTGACTTACGAACCGGTTTCAGGAACGGAACCTGTTCGTAAGTCAGGACTGCCCGTGTCCTCTACCGTTCGTAAGTCAGGACTGCCCGTGTCCTCTACCGTTCGTAAGTCAGGACTGCCCGTGTCCTCTACCGTTCGTAAGTCAGGACTGCCCGTGTCCTCTACCGTTCGTAAGTCAGGACTGCCCGTGTACTCTACCGTTCGTAAGTCAGGACTGCCCGTGTCCTCTACCGTTCGTAAGTCAGGACTGCCCGTGTACTCTCCTGCACATGGTAAAGGTGCAGCCCTGCCAATTGTTTGCTCACGCCACCAAGAGAGACACCGGGACGTTCGTTTTCACGAAGAAGAAGAAGAAGAAGAAAAAACTGTGATGCGAATTTAGAAGTGGATAGAAAATTCTCAAGCGGAGACTAAAATATGCAAATGCGAAAGTCGCTGCCACCGCCACATTTTTTTCTGAAACTTATTAATAAATTGCGTCCCAAATCTCACTAACTTCATTGCTTTAGAGCATTGTGACTACTCGTGGAAATGTATAGGTCCCAGAGAGATTGAGGGCAATGAAAAAAGGCCATTGCTTGAAACGTCGCCTATAATGTGTTTGTGTTCCTCTTAGAGCAGTGTTATTGACGAATGTGTGAAGTTGGTTGACAAATTAGAGAACTGAGCACAGGGAAATGTCTGATGAGACTGACAGCCAACTCGCCTTGGTTGCTGTAATCTGAGAACGTCCAGGTCACACTGAGGCTCTACACAAAGCTATGTTGTATTCATGCTTGTCACTTTTGTCACACAGGTATGAGTTCGAAGTTGGCGTAAAATATCAACTGGAGACCGACATTGGCAACATGAGAAAGGTATCCGTTTGATCCACGTTCTTCATTTCCTCTTGGCACGCTGGTAATATATCGCGGAGCGCACGACGCTCAATGTGCCCCTGGTGCTCAGGGGGAGAGCACGAACTTTTATCAGCCACAATAGGAGTCGTGAGCCCAGGGCCGGCTGTGCTGTCCACGGAGTCACTTTGCACAAAAGCTGCAGTCTAATGAACGTCTTCGTCCACGTGCAGTGGCGATCGCAAAGACCGAGTGAAGCAAATCTCTGTGGCATCTTGTGAAAGGCCATGATGTGCTCGCGTGTTTGGAAACGTCGTAAACGTTGTTCCTTACCCAGCGTGCCCACCCATTCACCGTGCTAGCTGTAACACCGAGAGCACAGGGAGGGGTCGGGGAATGTGCAATGATGCAGTTGACATGCAAATGCCAGCAAACTCTACAGCATACGAAGTCGTGCCCGAGCCCATTCGTTCGCCGACAATGTGTTCCGGAGGTTGTCGCTCGCAAGGAGTCTCGTTACGTGAATTTTCATCTCGCTTTGTTAACAATGTTAAGTGCAGGTTAGACAAAATACAATTCACATTCAACTCTTCACTCCCTTGAGGCTCTCTCTCAGACTCCCTGTACATCTGTCAGCACTGAGAAATTAGTTTGCTTTTTTTGTAAATCTTGGATCTTGCATCCTGTTATATGAAGCTGAATGGAATTTGCATGGCTTTTTACATTTATCTTTAATTATTACAAGTTCCAATTTGTTGAAGACCACCACAGAAATGTGTGGCTTTTTTTAGCATATCTTACTAAGCAATATTATTTTTTAAAACATATGTGAATGCCTTTGCCACGTATTGCTCATTAAATTCCACACAGCATTTTCAAATTGCTCACAGATGTTTTTACTTTCAAAGTCGTGTTTAAAACAAACAAAAAACTGATTTAATCGAATGCCGTTGCTGGAGGATGATGGTGCTTCTAAACGGAACACCTAATGTTAGTCAAATTCCTTGTTCCAAGTACATTGCTGGAATATATTACACTAGCCTTTTGTGCCCGTCCAAGGACGGGTGTATGTTGCAGTAAAGCTGAAACATTCAATAGAAAAATTGTTCAGCTCATGATTATTAATGAGGGTGGGGGGGGGTGCCCCATGTGGAGTGACGTGACCCGCTCATGATTATTCATTAGGGGAGGGGTGTGGCATGTGGAGTGCGCGACCTTCTTGTGCGTTAGTGTGAATTTCCACGCGTGCATGAATATTAATGAAGGGGGGGGGGGTTCTTTTGCAGTGACGTAACGCACGGATGTAGCACTGTGCTGCGTAGATTTATTTTTTTTCCGTCACTTTCTGTAAAGGAACGTCATATTTGAAGCGACTTTGCGTAATTCATTATTTAATTCTGCTCGACCTTCCTCTGCGTTAGTGTAAAAAATTCACCCACTCGTGAATATTAATGAGGGGGGTGGGGCTCATGTGGAGTGACGTCACGCGGGGGGATGGGCTTTATGTGGAGTGACACGCGCGGGACGGACAGACATACTCTTTGGTTCTATTGGGTAAAGTCACGTAGGTGAAAATAAAATAACAAAAAATCACGACGTTTCGGCCACAACACAAGCGGCCTTCATCAGGTGAAGGGACGAGTGGGAGTCCCACTCCAGCGCTGTCCTCCAGACAGTCTCGTCCCTTCACCTGATGAAGGCCGCTTGTGTTGTGGCCGAAACGTCGTGATTTTTTGTTATTTTATTTTCACCTACGTGACTTTACCCAATAGAACCAAAGAGTATGGATCCTAGCAGTCACGAAAGCTTTAAATCTAGAACGGACAGACATTTCTGGGTGATTATAGTAGGTAATGATCGTACTGTAGTTAGGTTTTCATATGCTTGGTAGTGGCTGTATATGGGATTTGGTCCTTAAATATAATCAATATACAGCGTTGTTGGATTCTATTAGCATGAACGACGCTGCATAAATGAAAGGTATTATATTGTTATAGTCAGATATGTGTTATAACCACCCTGCCACAACGATCCACTTACACACACGAATATCCCCCGTATTGACAGACTGTCGGACACGTGCTGTCAGTAAAGCAACTACCCAAAGGGGTGGCAAGGTGCATGTCGGGGTGCCGCCAACCACCTCGACCTCTCCAGCTGTAGTGTTCTTACACGCCACACGTGGGGCTCGTTTTACACGGCTGAATTAACTTACTTGATGTCCTGGACAAGGTTCACAGACCAATTATCACGAACGTCAGCCAGGGCCAAAGAAGACAAGTCGGACCAGTGGGTTTCCAGCGCAGTGTACTAACGAATTACAAGCTCGCACGTGACATACAAGTGACACATGCCCTTCTCAAATCTCGTGTAGGACCTGGACGGTGCCACGGAGCTCAAGGTGGAGTTGGAGTCCAGGTACAGCATGCTCATCGAGGAGCTGGAGTTCCTCAAGAGGGCTCAGGAAGAGGTAAGTGCCAAACTAAACTATTATAAACGAATGTATTTTATCAGGTAAGGCCCACTGAGCAACATAGCTCTTTTTCAGAAGCGAACTGGCTACAAATGATAGCTCAACGAAGTGGCTTATCACGTCGGAATTTAAAACAGCAAAATACTCTGACCGCGTGTTTATTCTAAACGTGGAAGAAAAAAAACCAGAGTACCTGGAGAAAAATCCACACAACCACGGGGAGAGAGCGAGAGAGAGAGAGGCATGCAACCTCCAAACATACAGGCACCAGGGTCGGGATCGAACCCACGGCCTCCTGTATACCAGGCGAGGTAGTTAACATCTCGACACCGTGGCGCCCGAGTGCGCCTCGGAGCAGCCTGAGGTTCACAGGTGCTCGCACCCGTCGGTAGGAGGCAGTCGTTAGATATTCTTTACACAAGGAACGTGAAGGAACGATATACGAAAGGTCATCATCCTTCAGCCCACCGAGCTCACCGCTTCATGGTACATAAGTTGAAAGGTCTGCTGTGAAGTTTATGAGCTCAGAAGGCAATCATTACATGTGCAGACAAGTGTGCATGTACTGTGTGTATGAAGACTTAAGACTTGTCTGGTCTGACCTTTTGCAAGAAATATATTACTCCATTAAAAAAAAGCTTTAAACACAAATAAATAATGATAGGAGTGAATGTGCTGTGCTCTTGTGTTATCAGCCAGGCAGGTGCAGGCCACTATGTGTGCTGAAATGAGATGAACGTCCACACCAAATGTCTCAATAAGTCATCCGGTGCCTCCCGTAGCTCAGTGATGTGTAAGGCTACATTTGGTTTGTGCTTGTCGACAAGTAGGCATCCGATATCTGAAATATTGGCAACAGCACAATCCAAGTTAAAAATGTAACTCAGTTGAAAAAGTTAAAGGAATTGTCACGTTGGGGGAAGGACTTATTCGAATGAGGTAAAGGTTATGTTCAACCAAAATGAATTTACTTTTGTGAACAACCCATTGAGAATAATTATTTTAAGCTGCAATGAAAATCTATGAAATCATGAGGTAATCATATTTTGATTTAAAGCTTTCGTGACTGCAATGATTCATCTTCTTTGGTTCATCTTTGGCTATTTTGTTATCGGGCGAGCCATGATAAATGATGACACACGGCTCTTTGATGTGTGTTTCAAAGTAGACTAGCAATAGCTTTCCTTGCGACAATGGGAATTAAACTCTCCACTGTGCTCAGTGACTCGATAGCAATCGGAGCCAAGCATCAGACGACTCGGCCAATAAAACAATGCATTATCAATAATGCGTTTTATTTATCCAGGAAAGCCTCACTCAAGGCTCTTTCAAAGGAGGCTGCTGCATTGGGATGTTGAACGAGTTGCATTAATGAGTCTGGATCGTGGGAGGAGGCACCCAGAGAAAACATGCACACACATAACGAGGGAATGACACTCACAGTCTCCCACCTTACGCAGGCTCAGGCCTGCTTGGCTTACACGATAGAGCACATTCAGATTGAAATGGTTGTCGGTTTGCTTCCGTGCAAATTAAGTCCCGATGAGAAAGCTCAGTGCGGTCAACTCTCAACAACCCAGAACGCAACAAGGTTCTACAATTACAAACCATGTATAGTCCTACGTGGACGCAGGAAAGCAAAGCTTTGCGACACACTGGTCCATCGCAATCCCGATGGTTCCCCCAACGATTATTGTCCCTTCGACGCCGGTGCAGGAGCTCGTGAAGATCGGCGCCAAACCGGACAAGGTCGACTCATCGGCCGCCATCGACGTGGACGACTCGCGCTCCATCGACCTGGCGGGAATGCTGGGCAACATGCGAGCCGAGTACGAGGCCATCGCCCAGAAGAACAGAGCGGATGCCGATGCGTACTTCCAAAGCCAGGTAACGGGGGAAAGGGGGTGGGGGCATCGACCCACCGCCAGGTTAGGGTGAAAGTGGTGAGCGAGCGGTGGTGAGCGAGGGGTGGTGAGCGAGCGGTGGTGAGCGAGGGGTGGTGAGCGAGCGGTGGTTATCGAGGGATGGTGAGCGTGTGGTGGTGAGCGTGCGGTGGTGAGCGTGTGGTGGTGAGCGAGCGGTGGTGAGCGAGGAGTGGTGAGCGTGCGCTGGTGAGCGTGTGGTAGTGAGCGTGGGGCAGGCACTGCACTGGCCACAGCTAAAATCAGTGGCCAGTAATATCTGAACCGGTCCTGGGGCCCCCTCCTCGTTCACCAATCTGTACTGACCAGCGTGGTGAAGTATGGTCAAACAACCCCATTACTGGTGCGGGGATGCCCTTCATCCGTCAGTAGATCGACAAAGAAGCTGTAAAATACCGTTGCATTGTTAAGTCCTCAAGTGTACTGCCGCGCTTCTTCCTAATGCGCAGCTCGACTTTCCCTGCAGATGGCAACAATCGAGGAGGACCAACACAAAGCTTCGTCCGAAACGGAGAGCACCACCTCAGAGATCACGGAAGTCCAGAAGAGCATGCAGGAGCTGCAGTTGGAGCTGCAAAGCCTCTTGTCCAAGGCACGATCACGTCCATATAAATTCGCTGAACCTCATCACTCACTGAACCTCGCCACTGAACCTCAACATCAACTCGCTAAACTAAAGCTTCCCTTGCCAAACCTTCAACATCATTCGCTAAACGTCGACATCACTTGCTCAGAGGGGTGGTACTCATTTGATTGACCCTGCCCTAGAATTGAACTGAGAACCGCATGCTCTGTCATGGCTTGAACCAGCGGGACCCCCCCCCCCCACGCTACCACGGAAATACGGAGCTGAAATGCAATTCTCTACTCTCCATCTCATGCTTGACGCCGGTGTTTAGTGTAGCTACGTAAAAAAAATTTGTAATTAAGATTACACGACTTAGTGAGATGTATTTCAACTCTGCAGCTTGCTTGGCTAAAGGCCCTCTACTACCATCTAGTGGAAAGTAAAAACATACACTACAATAAAGTATATACTCTACTGTAGTTCTGTCCCTCTATTTAATTAAACTGCCGTAGTAATTCTCAACGTAAAAAGTAAAATATATTAAATTATTGAATTTCCCCACAATGCCCTCCAACAATGCGTCAAGGTTTTATTTTACCTTTCTTTGTGCATTGACTCAAACGCTGTCTTGCAGAGAGTGCTCGTGTCAATAATCTGGCAACACGGAAGAATTTGACAATTGAGAATTAACAATCCCGACTGCTGATGATGAGACCCTGGATGTTAAAACTAGTCCCGATTTTGTTTACTTTAATAAACGCTGCTGGATAATAACGCTCTGGAAAGCTAATACGCTATGCTAATTAACGGGAAAAAAATATAGATATCATTGTTTTAGCTTATATTTACTCATGCAATGAACTGTGGCTCATCTATAATTTGTGGCCAGGTAGCCTCTAAAAAAGAGCTCATAGTTCAGTAGAATTTACTTGGTAAATATAAATAGTTATAGTTTTATATTCTTGTTTCTTTTGGTAAAGTCACGTAGAAGGGAAACAATAAAATAATAAATACATATTATTAAAATAATATATTATTGACATAATATATTAATATATTAAAATAATATATTTTTATTATTTTATTGTTTCCCTTCTACGTGACTTTACCGAAAGAACCAAGAATATGAATCCCTGCAGTCACGAAAGCTTTAAATCAAAAGTTATAGTTTAGTGTGTGGGCGTCATCATGGAAAGTGGTCCCTTTATGATGATTTAATAATATAAAACAAATATTGTTTACAGAGATTTGTCAATCCACTGCTGTATAAAGGGACTCCCCACGCTACTTTTTCATAAGTCTGTAAAAGAAAAAAAAATACTTGATAGCTCCTCGAATTTATCAATTAAAGATTCCGACGTTTCTGATAAGTCGACCATTTCCCACATCCAGAACGGGCAGCTACATAACATGCTCGCCGAGGTGGAGGGCCGCTACCGCTTTGAGATCAGCGCCATGGAGAGCCGCGTGGTGGACGTGGACGGCACGCTGCACTCCTCCAAGATCGAGCTCCAGCGGCAGCTCGTCGCCTTCCAGCAGCTCCTCGACATCAAGATCGCTCTCGACACCGAGATCGCCACCTACAAGCAGCTGCTCGAGGGGGGAGACGTCGGGTATGTCCCCTGCCGCGTTTGGCGTTCATCCGCCGTGGTGGCGAAATGTTAAGGACCTCGCCCTGTCAGTGTGGGAGGTCGTGGTTTTGATCCCCGTCCCCGACGCCTGCTGTATATTTCGACGTTTGCGTGTCGCTCTCCCCGTCGTCGCCGCGGATTTTTCTCCGGGTCCTCCGGGTTTTCCCTCCACAGTTAGAAACAATCCTTTTCGCCTATGTGGCTGCAATACGTTTCCACGTGATAAGCCACTTCGTTGAGGTATCATTTGTGGCCAGGTCGCTTCTGAAAAAGAGTTATATAGCTCAGTGGGCCTTACCTGGTAACAGAAAAAAATTGTTTAATAATTTCGTTTGAGTTTATCGTCACTATGCACAAAGGTCTTCGTCATAGTTTTTGACAGCTCTCAGCAGCCCCAATTTATGCTTCAAACGTTGACCAAAAGTATAAAAATAACTGTGACTTGGTAACTTCTAGTGGTTTTAGAGCTTAAACATGTGAACGTCTACGAGCATTTTTTTTAAATTGCTGTTTTATAGACTAGATTACATGCTCGACTAACGTTGTGTTTCCCTTTTTTAACAGCTGGGAAGACTTAATGAAGTCAATGTCCAATTCTGGGAACGTCACATTCAAAGGCAGCGGTGAGTGTCTTCCGAATTTCATCGTGCAATGAAGAACATGCGGAGAGGGAAAAAAAAACCCTACACGCTCTACAGCGGCCAGTCCTTACCGACACCACCATCGCTGCAGGCCCACCGTGTTGCTGTCCGTTTCCTTTCCTGATCACGTCAATAAAAATGTGCATTTTTATTTTTCATTAACATCAAAGGGAGGTGCATGCAAAATGCCCATGAAATAGAGCAATGTATGAGTGCAGCACTCACGATCGATGCATGAGTGCAGCCCCAGGGCAAAGTGAAGCATAATTGGAATTTCTGAATCCCATTGCCACAGCAGCTGCACTATGAACCACACAGGGACAAGTCCTGTAACTCATTAATATCGTGTGGTTTATAAATTAGCAATGGGGCCTTCCCCAATATAATCACATCCAGCCTGCTATGATATAGATGAAGTGTCAAAACCTGTTGCAATACCTGAATAAGAACTGAAAGATGGACTCGGTGTACTCATTAGACAATTAAATTTTGTCATCCTTGCTTTTGAAGTGACAAAATACTATTGAATGCTGGAAACGTAGCTGATGACATCACAATCAGCATGTCACACCTATGGTCACAAAACCCTCACCGCACAGATCCCACTCAGCACAGGTCACTAAATTTACCATGGGTTTGATTTTCCACGAAGCTCATTGTCCACCTTAAACCGCATCCGCACAAACCATCGCAGATGCGGATACCTGGTGCACAAATAGAAAAAAAAAAACCTCTCTAGCAATGTGCGACTGTGGTCATCCAGCACAGACCGTACAACGTATAATGTCGCATTGCCCCGATCCACAATTATGAAGGAGACATCACGGCGGCGATACGCTGCGCTACTCCTGACGCGGTTGTCTGGCTTGACCACCGAAATGTGAAATTGTAGTCGTTGCTCTGCTGCATCTGCATCAGCCACACAGAAGGAGAAGACTCATTTACCAATCTCCCGCTGTGAAATGCAACCTACCATAGGTTGTTTCACGATGCACAACGAACCTGACGATTGGTTAACAAATCGTACCTGCCAAAGACATCTCCGGTTTAGATTCGGAATGCTCAGAATGTTCCCCCAAAAGCTCGGCGGGTTTTTCCACAATTGCGTGTTTTGTTGTTGTTGTTTGTTTGTTCGTTCTGTGTGATCGGCAGGCGGTGGGGGCTACGGTTCGGTGAAGAGCACGATCGGGGGCGGCGGCGGCGGCGGCGGCAGCAGCAGCTCCGGATTCTCCACCAGCTCCACCACGGCGACCACTGTCAAGTCTGTAGCCAACAGCGGCAGCTTGCTGGACGCAGCCACCGTGTCGGCCTCCACGCCGGCGAAGTCGGTCCAGAAGGTGGTCACCGTCAAGACCATCGAGCTGGAGGACGGCGTCGTGGTCTCGCAGAGCGAGAATACAAAAACATCCGAGATTGAGGCTTAAATCGAGGTGCTCAAAAACAAAAACAAAAAACAGAGCCTATCTCGCGGTGAAATTCATTAAGGCCGTGCATGTTTGTGTTGGCTTACGTCCACTGTGGGTAGACATCTTCTTATTCTAATGGATTTGGTCGTAACTTGGTGATTGCATTTTTTTTATTTTCCTCACTGGGGCAGGGTCAGTGCGTTGTCGAGTTTCTTTGCTTCTGTCATCGAGGTGCTCCTGCATAGCTTGCATCTTTGCAAAAAAATAAATGAGTACAACTTTTTTGTCGTTCCATTATCATTTTGTGTGAACACTTCTGGAAATATATGGCTTGCTCCAGGTATCTACAGTGTGTTTTATCAACCAATAAGTGCTAAAGCCTTGCATTTCTCATCTTAATCTTCAGGGCTGATAAGAATGGAAATGAAAAGTCATTTGGGACACAGCTTGAAAACCAAGGTGCTATACTCAATACATTTCAAAACGTCACCTATGTGGTGCTCTACATCGTGGTATGACGGCCAATACTTATTGATGTCTTGTACATGTCAAGACTGCAACAGTTTCAAAGCTAGGATGGATGGCACCTCCTGCAGGCCAGGGGTTTCCATGACATGAGCTGTGCTGAAGGAACAGCGTCCAACTATTTCAAGGGGTCCCACAGCATCGCAGGTGTCACAGCTTTGAGGAATGCACATCTCTAAGAGAGCCGCGTACTTCTGGAGAGTGGTGCACGAATGTAAGAATTCTGTGTGAGGCTGTCAGGAAAACATGAATGAGGGATTAACAATAATGACCTGGCTTAGGAACTGGAACACCGTCAACCCTTGCCTAGCCTCGTAAGTTGGCAAGCAGGGGCGCCACACGAATGGGTAAACCAAATTATTTGTAACGAAGCGAGCAGTGGCGGCCGGTTGCTCACTCGTTTGGTTGGGGCAGCGTCGTTTGGTTGGGGCCCGTGGCAGCGCCAGAGCAGCAGTGGGGGAGGGGGGGGTGATTGAGGAGGGGAGCACGACCGTGAGGATGGCCCCTTGCTCGGGGAGCCAAAATGTCCAGCTCGGGCTCTTGAGTGGAGGCGTAAGAAAATGGGTTCTGGTGCACAGACAACTCGGAGTAATTACAACAACCGCCATTTGCCACTAAGTGGCGGTGACGTCACCACGGCGCTTGTGCCAGGCTACGTGCACCTTGAGGCCACGTGAAGTGTCGAACGCCCGCTGGCAGGAGGTCACAGGGCAGACCCAGATGCCACAGGTCGACTGAGATGACTGAGACGACTGGCGGATGCACCACCTGTGCCCCCTACTGTGCCAACTTTCCGTGTTTTAGCTACCCGGCGCTCCGCTCGTTGTTGTGAGCGTTGCTCCTCCGCCCTCCGTTGTTGTTGGGGGGCGACTGCCTCCAACTGCCCAGTAGCAGCGTCCTTCACGAGCCTCCTCCACAGAGGCCGATCTTGACACCGCTGGTACCAGTCATCGGCAAGTCCACTCAGCTCCACATCCTCCTGTACCACATCACTCCATCTCTTCTCTAGCCCGTGCCGCGCCCGTTTAGCCCCCTCGATCCGGCCGAACAAAAGCTGTTTAGGTATGCGGTGGCTGGGCATGCGGGCTACATGGCCCAGCCAACGCAGCCTTGCCTGCCGGAGGAGCTCACCGATGGAACTTTGTCCAGATCTTTCAAGGATTTGTGAGCTCCTCACACAATCTAGCCTGGTTAAACCCAGGATGGATCGTAGGCAAGCCAGCCTAAATGTTTCTAACCGGCAAGGATGTTCCATTGGGGGGGTCCACGTTTCGCAAGCGTAGAGAAGGGAAGGAATGACTGTGGCCGAGAAGACCTGAAGCTTCGAGTGGAGCAACAGACCAGGTAGCTTCCACCCAGCGTTATGAAACCGATGAAAAGACAATGCCGCTTGACTGATTCGGAGTGAGACCTTCTGCTGTTAGACTGGAGCCGGTCATGAGCACACTGCCCAGGTATGGGAAACTCTCCACTCTCTACCCTACCACCAATTCGGAGTTGTGGGGATGGAGTGTCCGATGGTACAAAATACCCAGGCAGGTGCTTAGTTTTGGTGGGGCTGATGGTAAGTCCCCACCTGTTAGTGGCAAGCTCCAGGTTCAGCGGCAGCGCCTCCAACTCCTCCTCTGAGAGAGCAGCAATTAGCAGATCATCGCAGTATGGTAGAGCAATAGGGAGCCATCCTTTGATCGCACCCAGGCATTGATCAGCCTCCCATTGTATCTGTACCAGATGGAAATTCCTCCGGTGTACAGGGAGTGGCTCCGACTCCTGGCCACGTAGTGTTTACCCGGGCCCGCTCACCATCATGAAGGTCCTTAATGATCGTGATCAGCGGGTCAGGGACCCCAAAAGCACGAAGAACAAACCAGAGCCCAGGCCTACTGATGGTATCATAGGCCTTGACCAGGTCAATAAAGCAGAGATGTAGGTCTTGTTGGAATTCCCTACACCTCTGCTGTAGCAGACGGACGGAAATATGGCATCTGTGCAGGACTGCCCTTTCCTGAAACCGCATTGGGGCTTCGCAAGCCTCTCCTCAGCGTGCCACTCTCCCTCAGCATTTCGCTTGGGAGATCATCTCTGCCCAGTGCCTTTCCTGGTCTCAGGCTCTGGATCGCCATCAGTACTTCCTCAACAGATGGCACCTCAGCCAGCCACTCACAGGGGGTGACTTCTTCTTCCAATATTTGAGGCACTGCAGCCTCAGCAGGGTCATCCCCACTTTGTCCCGTGTTGTTTTCCAGGCTGAGGGATTTCCCATCCCCCAGGACCTCACATAAATGCTCAGCAAATCTGCAAACTTTTACCTGGGGGTAAGAGATTGGGTCACCGTTCTTTCCCCTAATGATGGTAATAGGTGTGGCGCTGCACGTTACCTTTTTGATGAAATTAAAGGGTGATTATAACACAGTAACACACACACACCTACTCGACACTTGTTTCATGCGTAATCTTTATTTTATGCACGCTTTTGATGCTTCTATAATCATGCCACCCAAGACGCATTCATGCTGATTCGGCTCAACTTGGGACGGACATCAATCCTACAAAGCATTTTCTGAAATTAAACCACTCATAGACATTCTAATTCATCTATTTTTAAACAAACTAAAATGTTTTATGACAATCACTACTCTATTTTGCGACATTAATTGAAACGTGGTTTATGCAGTCTGCAGTATCGTTTAAGCTATGAGTATCTAACATGTCCACCACGTGACAGTGTTATGACCGGTAACCTGTGTCAATTGTATACAATTTGAGTACTCGGTGTGTTACCATGGATGTGAGGCCCATGTGCAGCAGAACAGTGATCTTAAAATTCCAATATTCCCACATCATTTCTGCCGGCATTCCACAAACACATTTTCATTAACGCACGCGTGTTTTATGCCCTACTTTGATTGGTAAACAGTGAACGGGGCTTGTCGAGTGTCATCAGGAATGGAGAATTAAAATGCACTTGTGCAGACTCCCGCCTCCATAAGCGCAGGACAGAAATTTAACCAAGAGAGGACTGCGTCGTACATTCGTTGCATACAGGAATATATCTCGCCATGCGCCGCCAATATCATTTTATTAGGAGGAGTAACACCACCAACTGATTTAAAGTCGCTTGGCCCAAAACCATACTCAAGCCGCCACTTGAACTGCAGGGCCACCTGCCTGCAGTGGTCCAGATCACTTCCGAACAACCTGCATGTCTTGACTCTCAGACACCACCCTTCCATCCAGTGTCTCGATCTGTTTGATCAGCACCTGCTGCGAGGAGTACCCTTGAAACTGCGGTTTGGTCTCAAGTGGAGACGGCGACGGACCTAGACACAAAGATACGTGCCACAGATTAGATGCACGTTCGCACAGAGTACACACAACAAAGACAAAAATCCCCCGTATAGCCTTAACAGACTGCAGGGGCAAGTGCTGTTCGCGTGCACCTATGAAGGTCGGCACGGCACACGAGGGGGTGGGTGGCCAGCACCACGCCCAGCCGCCTTTGTCTCCCCAGTGGTGATGTTTACACACCGCACCAAGTACTCACTTGCGGCTGAGTCGACCTAGGGGAGGCCCAGGACCGGCGAATATCTGAACCGTTTTATTATCATCATTCATATTACATTTTTCTGTAAAGTGATGTTGAGATGTTAATTTCAGGAAAAGAAAATAAACAAAATGAAGATTGATTAATTTACAAGCAAATAAAAATGTGCGCGATGGGTGGTGTTAACTCACTGTATTCGGAGACAGTCGATCCAATCGTGGTTTTGGTGATCCTGAAATCAAAAGCCGAAGATTATTTTGATGTAAAGCAGGCGCCGTCGTTCAAACTCCAGTCCTCGCGACCCCCTGACTGAGCGCTTTTCTGCCACCGCCGATGATATTTCCAATCCAAGTGACCACAAAGTTGCACACACACAACCCTGACGATGGTTTGCAAATCATGGAGAGCTGCACGGTGGGCGAAGGCTGCCGTGAGGACGGGAAGCTTGAGAGACACCCGTCCACAGCGTGCACTCACAACTGGAACTAAGTGCCCAAATTATTGATGGCCACCTAAGCAGTCTCAGTGACAAAATTACTTTCCTATCATCGCAATATATTATTAACCGCAACCGCAATCGAATATGACATGTACACGAGTCGATATATTGTTGCAGGGGCAACATCAACATCTGTCAGTTTATTCTCTTACCAAATAGTTCAGCTGACAACCCCGTACTTATTATGTACTATAGAGGATCAATGCACATGCTGACTGCCTTAGTAAACACAGCATTTGCATGGCATTTACTGTACACTCGTAATTTGTTTCCCTCCTATTCATTTCCCAACCCACTGCATCATCATGTTTCCTCCCATGCCGCTTGGCAGCATTTCTCTCTCTCTCCTTGGCCATACATAACATTCAATATCGAGAAACAGCATCGTGAAACCAGAGCAGAGGATAATAACAATTCAGCTCCGTGGTTGTAGATCAACATTTTTTTATTAGAATAATGCTCGAATTGAAGCTTGTCGTGACTGCAGGAATCCATAATTATTATTTTTCGTTTTATTTGAATACCTACGTGACTTTACCCAAAAAAAACAAAGAGTGTAGTGATAATGCTCCTTGTTAACCCAAGGGAAGCTCAATGAGTCATTCGACTCCTTCTGAGGAATTATCCTGCATTGGACAGATTGACCAATTGCTGCATTCCTCAGTGTTTGGATGGTGAGAGGAATCCAGATTAACCCAGAGAAAAGCCACAAACGCTTAGCGGGTAACTCTTAAAGCGCCGAACACATATATTCAATATAATCCATGACAGCACCGCTGTGGCCTGGCCACCTCGCATTTCTTGAATTGCTGGTTTGCATGACAATCTCTAACTCGGTGTCATGGCCAGCCCATTTGGAAGCAGCTACCTGCCCTCCTCGCCCTCCAGGAGCTTGCGGTAAGCGATGATCTCCATGTCAAGAGCCAACTTGACATTCATGAGCTCCTGGTAGCTGCGGTGATGGCCGGTGAGCTTGTTCTTCTGCTCCATGATGGTCACCTCCAGCAGCTGCCTCTTCTCCGTGAGTTGCCTCATGCTCTCCTTGCCCTTTTCCTCAGCAAGAGCAATGGCCCTCTCCAGCGCCAAACACTGTGCCACGACAACACAACAATGGCCCTCTCCAGCGCCAAACACTGTGCCACGACAACACAACAATGGCCCTCTCCAGCGCCAAACACTGTGCCACGACAACACAACAATGGCCCTCTCCAGCGCCAAACACTGTGCCACGACAACACAACAATGGCCCTCTCCAGCGCCAAACACTGTGCCACGACAACACAACAATCATCATCGCCGCCATCGATCATTATCAGGGTCATGGTCAACCCTAAACTGCATCCACGGGACGAACCATGGCAGTGGATGTGAATACCCTGATGCACGAAGAGAAAATGTAAAACTCTTCAGTAGTCATTTAAACAGACCGTACAATATATAACGACGAAATGCCTGACCCACAAAAACAACGGAGACATCACAGCGATGATGACACACTCCGCTCCTCTGGATGCGGCTATCTGGCTCGACCACCTGAATGTGAAATAGCAGTTGTTGCTCTGCATCTACATCAGCAGCCGTACGAAAGAAGAAGAATCATCACTTCCCTGATGTAATTTTACACGTAGGCATTCACAATCAATATTATGATTCATTAAATAATAATAAATAGGTTACATTGCGTATGCCCATTTTCTTTACTAAGATCCCCAACCACCCGACACAGCCAATCAAATCAAAGTTGTCAAGCGGGCAAACATTCCAATCGATTTGGTTTTTTTTCTTTCAGCAAACCGGAAGAACGTTGATAAAGTGAGCACAATTTTGACGTTTCACTGGAGATGGCATCCAGCATCATCGGGTGTTTACAAAAGTTCAGCTCACCACAACCTCCTTATACGAATGACATATTTGACACAGTCACATTTGGCTCTGAATCTTAATTGGAACGCCCGTCGCTTCTATTGTGTTACGATCAAGTGAAAGCACTAACATAGCAGCATGCACAGAGGGCTTCTTTACGTAATATCTACAATCAAAATTGTACAGCCTTTTGTCAATGTGGCATACCGCTGGATAAAGGCTGTAATCGGTCACGAGGGGGTCGTTTGCACGCACGTCACCACTCCGGCCAGTGCGGGTTGATGAGGGCAAAGGCCCTGGACAGGTTGGTAGATCCTCAATCGCCGTGGCTGACAACGGCACTCGTGGTAGTTTGAGGGTTCACGGCGCAGCACCCCAAACAGTGGACCGCTGCTCCAACCCCCCCTCCCCCCCCCCCCTACTTTACATAATGAGGGCCAGGACACACAAACAAACAAAAAAGAAACGATGCCATTTTCCAGCAGCACAATAATACGAACGCACGCAGAGGCTCAACAGTCAAGACCCCTGCGGTACAATGACACACCTGTTGCTTGAGAGCCTCCAGTTCTGCTTTGTAGCGCTGCATGTTGCGGCGCACCTCGCTAATCTCAACGGTCACCAGTCTCATGTCGTCGTTGATCTTGACCTCGTTGTTCCTGTTCGCGTCCAGCTGGGTCGCACATTTACAAAATTAAAGGTGAGTTGTTGTTGTTTTTTTTTTATGAAACCGACAACGGTCCACATTCCCCTTTCGTTTTGCCCCCTTTCACGTGGTCACGCTGTGCCGTGATTTTTGTTGTTGTTGTGGTATCCGGTCGTTGGAATCTCCACGCATGTCGTTGCAAAAAAATGTTTTTGTTTAAATGACAAAACTGAACTGACTCAATTCGTGAGGACGCCGGTTAATATTTGTCCATTGTGGGGTGACCGTGTCCCCCTGCTGCTATGGCGTCATCTCCCTCTAGGTGGCACTTAGGTAACAGATTTTCTTTGAAATCAAACATGATAAACTCTACAGAGGCGTTTTCAATCAATTCTAATGTTACTGTGTTATGTTGAGGATAACTGAAGAGGGGTAAAGCGAGTTATACTGGTAGGAACCTCCTGGTGACACCAGCCCACAGGGGATTATTGTGTCCGTCCATCCGTCGTGCATCCAAAAATGGGAAAGGTGGGGCTGGGTGGAGAGGGTGGGGAGGGGCTTGGTGGGGAGGGGACGGTGGGGAGGAGCTGGGTGGGGAGGGGAGGTTGGGGAGGGGCTGGGTGGGGAGGGGTGGGGAGTGGAGGGTGGGGAGGGGCGGGTGGGGAGGGTGGAGCTGGATGGGGGGGTGGAAGGGGTGGGGCTGGGTGGGGAGAGGCTGGTCACCCCGTGGTGCCCTTATAAAACTCAACGTTTAACCTACTCATGCTGGCTTGTGCCCGCCCTCAGTCGGGCATATTTTCAGAATACACCACGTGGTGCCGCCGTTGACCCTGGCCATTGACCGAGCAACCCAACGTTCCTACCAGCTCCCTCCGCAGGAATGTGTTGTTAATCATCAAAAGTGTGGATATGGATGCATGCATTTTTTGTTTACAGAATTTTCAGAAAAACGTCACAAAGAGTACTATTTTTGTGGGTTCTCAACCATGATCATCCTCCGGATAGATTGGTCTCCGGCACGCCAATGTCGAATTTCCAGCGTTGAGACTCTTGTTAGGCATTTTCTGCATAAATAAAGTTAATTTTCCGTTATCGTCATTGTCGTTTAAGCCGCACATTACCTTGGTCTCGAACGAGATCTTGAGCTCCTCGCGGATGCGCCCCGCCTGCTTCATGTACTGCTCGCGCACCTCGGCCAGGTACGTGTCCAGATCAAGCCCCGGTGAGGAGTCCACCTCCACCACGACGTCCACCTTCACCATGCGCGCCTCCAGCTCGCGGATCTCCTGCACGCACCCGCACGGTCACCCTCCTCATTGCAGCGGCAGCCAGGAACAAATTCCGGTATCCTCACCACAACCACCCCACCAGAGCGCCGGAGCAAAAAAGACCCCCCACTTCCTCCTCCTCTTTCATCCCATTTATTTTCAACAACAACGGCCGCAAATTCACCACTGGCGGTGACATCGCCACAGTGCTTGTGCCAGGCTAGGTGCACATTGAGGCGAAGTAAAATGTCGAACGATCGCCCGCAGGTCGACTGGGCGGACCCAGGAGTTGTGGGTTAAGCGACCGAGGTGAATGGCAACGCAGGTGGTACGTCTGCCAGTGTCTCCTTATACAGACACGCACAGACATTGGACGCACACCCCAATGCAAACAACAAACTACGTGTACTTTACAACCAATATTTCGCTTTAAGCAACGGCCAGATGCACACTACCGTATACTGTAATCAACACGAATTCCTTTAGCACTTGTATAATAACGAAAACTGTATAATCGATTAAGTGTTATCAATTGCGACATTCACAGCACACATAGTAAAATATTAAAATGTATATCGATTCGTATTTTTCTTTATATGAAGCAAATGAAACGTATACAATTTTTGTTGGCCCATGGACAAATGTCTCATTTGCCTTTTCCAATACCCCTGAAGTCTGGCTCTGCCGCATAGGTGGAGTTTAACTTCTATATTTGGGGGGTAGCAGGGGTTCGCTTTGTCCCGAGCTCGCGGGTGCACATTATTAATTTATCTTAATTGTAAACTACTGAAAATAAATTAATAAAGTTGTCCAGTTTAGGACGGGCGTTACCCCTGCCCCCCCCCCACCCAAACTCCGTCCATGTTCTGGTGGCAGCAGCGGCAGAAGCCTGGCCTTAGTGGACTGGGCACCCAGGCACAGCTGTCCAGTGAGTCTACATCCTTCGTGACCTTTGCTTGGAATGTGCCCCAATTATTGTTTGTTTAACCTACTTTATAATCCCAGCGGTCAAATGGCACAAAGCACAGACGCGTGTGGGGCAGTCGTAATTTAGCGTACAACAATGGAATATTGAATTCATCCATACGGAGGTTTGAGTGTTGCCACCAACCCATGTGCCTGATCTTGTCCAGGTTTTCCATTTTACCGCCACGTCAAACAACGAATTTATGGAACTCGACAAACGTCCCCGAAAATGACAGAGTCTTAATACTCAATGAGGCTTTGCCTGGGCAAATAAAGATAATTATTATGATTTCTATTCCTAATATATTGTTTGCAGGTGAGTATAGCTTTCGTCGAGTAAGAGAGCAATTATCAGAATGATTAACTGCAGATTGATGAATGTAAAGTGGGTCATAATGTACCCATGCCTGTTGATTGTAGACAGTGCTCAGGATTATCCACTGTGGTCTATTGTTAGGCACCCTGACGTAGACATGTGGAGTAAATATTAAGCGCTCTTCGAATGCTTTAATTTGAATTTCAAATATGAAATGGTATATTATTGTTACACTTAAAATGGTCAAAACTTTTCTTCTTAACTTCGGTAGCACTTTGTAACCACTTCCGAAAGCTGACGTGGTGGATATTTCATTCGGCGCTCTGCACTATGCACGACGAATGACAACTCTCATTGTTCAAGTTGTGGATGTTGCTATGAGTATTTAGTGTGTAACTCTGCCATGTATTTATAGGTTGCACCATGTGCTATTCGGCATGATATCCGACGTTGCGCTCCACATATGCACCGCTGGAAGTTTCTTCAGGAAAATAATTTTCTCCATGAATCATAAACTCGTTAATGCACTTGCAGAAAAATCTCACCAACATCTTTAGCGAATTCTCGGACATCATGCCGTACAACCCGAAAACACAAAACTAAACTATTTTTTATTTTACCAGGTAAGGCTCACTGAGCTATAGTGCTCTTTTATCAGGAGCAACCTGGTCACAAATGATAGCTCAACGAAGTGGTTTATCACCTGGAAATTTATGGAAGTCAAATACTCGAAACGTATGTTTCTGAACGTGGAGGGAAAAAACCTCAGGGAGAACATGCAAACTCCAAATATACAGGCATGAAAGTCGGAATCGACCCCATGACCTTGTGTATAGCAGAAAAGGTAGGTAACATCCCTCCACCGTGACGGACAGCTATACAGCATGACGGTGAAACGCAGCGCAGGGGTGTTCGATATTTACCCTTTCGTAGACCTTTCGGTAGAAATCGATGTCGTCAGTCAGACCAGTCAGCCTTGCCTCCAGCTCCACCTTCTGCATGTACACCTGGTCTGCCTCCTGTCCATCGCGTAGTGTGTGGAGATAAGGGAGACGACCATCAGGATAGTCAGCTTTGCTGAGTGCACACACAGCAGGAGATGGATGGACTTTAGACTCAACCAAAAGACTACTGATAAGGCTCTCGCTGGCAAGAGAAGGCCGCACACACACATTTTGTTGTATTGTACACTATGCTAGATACGCCCTTTCAAAAGCGCCTATTTTGATATACTGTACACCACTGACAAATATTATCCAGGTTTCACTTGAAAATAAAATTTAGTTGTAAGTGGACTCCCAGCTATATATTCCGTTTTTGTATGTGTGTGCGCGTTTGTCCTGAGAGCTTCTGCTGGACTACTCCGCCAATTTCAATGAGGTGTCATTTCAAAGCTTAAGGCCGTTGTGTGTGTAACATGAGCCCAGGCTGTGGCCTCACTGGGAAGTGCTATTGGCTTCCCTGGTCTATGACCCCCAAGCACCCCCAAGACAATCCAAACGGACCACTGAGAAGATCGGGATATCACACGCTCTGGCTAGTGGGAAATACAACAAGGAGTTGGGACCCCACACTCGTTTGTATCACGCCATCATCCAGATTGGGTTAGTCCGACGCAAAGTGGAAAGTTAGCTGGATTAGTTGCCTCACCATATTTCTTAAACAAAAACAACCTTGCGTCGAGAACTGTGCCTCAACGTGTCTAAGCCAGTGATGCAGTAAACATCGCCAATGTCATCGCAGCACCGACCTGTTTGAGGACGACAAATTCATTCTCAATTTGAGTGCGCTCCCTGATCTCAGTCTCATACCTGCAAAGACAATTTAAAGTCACGTCAATGCATTAGCCTACAGCAGCATCATTCATCGAGTAAAAGATGACAATGATGTATTTTATGTTCACGTAGGACTGACCAATGGCCATTGGACAAACTCTGCCTCTCTGTGTACTGACCAAAGCATCACTGGGGACATGTATGCTATGGCCCACAGTATTGGTAACTTTATATCTAGCGGAAGTTTGAAATTCACTACTGACAAAATGATGTCAAATCTTGACACTTCCTGGGGTAGGTACGTTATGAAGGTATAGGAGCGATCCCGGGTGTTTGTTTAAAATCCTCTGTAAATTTACGATGCACAATATCTGGAAAACTTCACCCCCGATTAGCAGGTTTAGCTATGTACGGTGTGAAAGTTCAACATGCATATATGCATACATAAGTGACTTGATTTAGGTTTGCGTTAAGGATCCTGTCTTCATTTACTATGCAAAATACAGTACTGATTCAATTGTCTTGTGACCATTTGACGACCTTAGAAGGTCTACCTATCCATCCCGAAACCATCTGAGGCACAGCTTGGCGACACTACAGAGTGTGAGTCCGCACGGATGGACTCACTTGATCTTCATTTGCTCCATGTTGATGTGCGCTTGCTCCTGATCGTTTGCCAGGCGCCTCTTCTCTTCTATCAGAGCCTGGATCTGGCGCTTGAGCAGGACCTCGTACTGAGCGCAGAGGTTGTCCAGCTGCGAGTCCTGGCCGCTGTGGATGCGCATTCTCTTCAGACTGACCTGCAGCTCCTTGTTCTTCCTCTCCAGAATGCGCACCTGGGAGGTTTCACGTAGGATACGTCGATCAAGAGATGTGAGCCATGCGGCTCTTAAGTCGGGTGCAACCGCAACAAACAAAATTTGTATTCTTAGCTCTTTCGGTAAAGTCACGTTAAAGGGAAAAATCAAATAATAAAATATATATTTATATAGATTTAATTTTATATATTTTATTATTTTATTGTTTCCCTTTAACGTGACTTTACCGAATGAGCCAAGAATATATATTTATATATATATAATTTTATATATTTTATTATTTTATTGTTTCCCTTTAACGTGACTTTACCGAAAGAGCTAAGAATATGAATTACTGCAGTCACGAAAGCTTTAAATCAAAATTTAAACAACATTTCAACACGGAACATCCCAAAGCGATGACGCGCAACAGAAACGTCCTGGAATAAACCAGCAGATAATCCACACAAAAATGCCGCGTTAACCTAGAGTGCATGCGCGCGTGCGGTTAAAGGACTCCATCCATCCGCCTCGACAGACTTCATATGCCAACATTGATCGTTGTTGTGAAACTGATCCGCTCCTGGACTTGCGCCAGCCATGTAGTGTAGGAAATGAAGGGGGCCGAGCCCCCCACCCACGGCCACTGCTGAAGGCTCAGCCCCCCTGCTAAAGTAATTTGATGAACATTCTGTTTGCAGTAGTTGGAGGCGGCTAGGCAACGTGATACAATTAGTACAATAGGGCAATATGGCGTTGTAGTCTTTCCTGTATGTCTGCGCGGAAATAAATTGCCTTCATATAAATACGCGATTAAATACATGCAAATTATTGCATCACTTTACCTCATCGCTTTCTCTCTCATCACTCTCTCTCGATGCAGTCGTGTAAATTCAAGATGCGATTCGCTGAGAACCAAAATCGCGAATAGCAAGTTGGTGAATGACGAGGGAATACTGTACATTGAATTTCTTTCGCACCATACGTAGCCAACCGCAGGCAAAATAATAAAACATGCGGGTGCGAGAGCTAGAGCAGAACGCACCATGGACAAACGCAGATCACATCGTGACTCGTTACTTGGCGTTCAAAATTTATTGCAAGTGTTATTCTTGGTTCTTTAAGTTAAGTCACGTAGAAGGGAAACAAGAATATGAATCTTCTTTGGTTCTTTCGGTAAAGTCACGTAGAATGAGAATAAAATAATAAAATAAAACAATAAAATTCTCACGACGTTTCGGCCACAACACAAGTGGCCTTCTTCAGGTGAAAGTAACAAACCTGTCGGGACGACAGAGCTACATTGAACGCTGCTAAGATTCGCAGCGTCTTTTAAGCTGGTTGAGAGAAGTGAGGCACCTTGACAAAGGGGTTTACATATCAAAGTCACGAAAGCTTTAAATAAATAAAAACTTATTGCAGGTGCTTAACACTGCGTCGTACCTCCTCTGAGATTCTCTATGCCTCCGCCGGTTAAACAAGGATTGACCTCCCCTAGGTAGACTCAGCCTTACATTTTCACCTGGCGCAGTGCATATACATCAGCTGCTGGGGATGGTGGTTGTCAGACAGCCTCGTGTGCCGTAGGTCTTCATAGGCGCTCACTAACAGTACTTGCCCCATCAGTCTGTGCAGACTATATGGGGAATCTTGCTTCTATTTTGTGCCATTGTATATATATTGTATGAGTTCGTCATCACCACCACCATCATCATCCCATCTGGCTCGCTAGAATGAACACGAGCTGGTGAAGCTACATCACTTGGTGGCAAGTCATAGTATCTGGGAAATTCTCTCAAGAGTCTCAAGGTTCATCAATTACATTTTTGAACAATGTATTTTTCCCCCTTCAAATTATCCTTTTGCATGCGGCAGAAAACATTTCCAACGGTTAGGAATTCATGACACTCAACAGGTCCATGCAGCGTGGTTCACCAACCCACTTAGCTGTAAAAGATTTGCCAACCCTGCACACTTAGGCGGTAGGCTGCCAATTTTTCAACGTTTTTACCGCATACTGATTTCGCAAAGCAAAAGAAAACGCGTCATTATCTCCTCCCCCCCCCACCCCCTTAGAACTTTTTTGAAAGCGGAATGATTCGTTTTGAAAATCCATACGCAGTAAAGCAGTTTTAAACGATCAGCAGCCGGGCGCTTACATCGGTAGGTGTGACAAGTCTGCCGTAATGACATCTTCCAGGCACCTCAGCTACGCGTTGAGCCACCAATCCTAGCCCTCCAACGCGCTCGATTGCAGGTGTGCTACCAAACGGACTTATCTCCAACATAGGAACATGGAATTTCCACGAATGGCTGAGAACCACAAACGGACGTCAGCATTGCCCATTGCTCATCAGAGCGTAGGGATTTTTTTAAAACTATAACATCCAATAAACAACCTTTATAAGTGAATTCTGCACAACAGCCTTTTCCAATGTTGTCGTGCAGCAAGCTCCATCCAAAAGCCTGGATTCACATTTGACAACGCGCGCTCTCTCTCTCTCTGTAACCCGCGCGCCACTCACATTCTGGATGTAGTTGGCGAAGCGGTCGTTGAGCCCCATCAGTTGATTCTTCTCCATCTGCCGGACCTGCTGCAGCTTGTCCACCTCGGCCGAGTTGCCAGACGACATGCCGGACGAGATGTACGCCGAGCCCTGGACGGTCGTGGTTGACGTGGACGAGTAGCCTCCTCCGCTCCCTCCCGCCGCTGTCATCGCAAACGGACTCCGCTGGTCCTGTAAACCCATGCGCTCCATCGGGGACTGGAGCGAAGAAACGACCCCGGATGAGGACGAACTCTGCATCATGCTGGAGTAGGACATGCTGGACGGTTCACTGAGCCGAAGGAGTATAAGCTTGGCTTCGCACGAAGGGGGCGAGTTTGTTTCTGGTGGGCTTGGTGTGCACGCACACACGTTGCGACCGGCACAGACGACTTGGTACAAAAGCCCAAAGCGCTGCTATATTGCACACACGCACATATATATACCTGCATCACCGTCAGCCCACACACCCTCCTAACACACGATCACAGAGTTCTATTGGGTGGGCGTGGGCGAGGCGGTGGGTGCTGTTAATGATTTAAAGGTGGGATGGAGTTTACTCTCTCTCCTTCTCAACAAACGGCAAACCTTTCGCAACACGTACCACTCATTGAGGACTCAAGCGAGGTCGATGTTTGCACCCGAGTTAAACAGTAACCTCGAATGTTTGACGAACCCAACCTCCCACGCAACCAACGCCCTTGGGGTCCGGGCGGCGCGTGCGTTTAGGGTTGGTGGCCCGCGATGTGGTGGGTGGGTGGGTGGTTGGAGGGGGCAGGGTGCAGACACATTAAATACTAGCGCTCAGGTGGGACACCTCCCGCACTCTCGTTGAGCTACCCGAGCTGCAAGCAAGCACGTTCAGAGGTTCTCCTGCAGCAACCTCCACCACCACCACCATGAGCCAGAGCGTGAGATCGTCTCGGGGCACGCACGTGTCCACCAGCATGTGGAACCGCAGGGGTGGATCGCCGCCGCCGCCTCCACGGCGCGCCACCTCGGTCGTCTCGTCCTCTCGCGAAGTCAAAATCTCGAACGCGGCGAGCGTCTACGGCGGCGCTGGCGGCCGTGGGTCGCGCATCTCCCGGGCGTCGTCGTTCTCGGCGGTGTCGACCGGCGGCCTGGCGGGCAACGAGAAGGAGGAGCTGCAGGGTCTCAACAACCGCCTCTCGGGGTACCTGCAGCGCGTGCGCACCCTGGAGCAGGACAACAACAAGATCGAGCTGGAGATCGCCGAGCTCATGAGCCTGAGGAAGGGCGGGCCGCACGACTGGGCCAAGTGGGATGGCATCTTCAGGGCACTCCGAGAGGAGGTTTGCGTGCCTGCTTGCTTGTTCGACTGCACGGCTACGGTCGTGTTGGGTTGGGGCGTGGGGGGGTGGTGCTTCTGAGCATCTGTGCACGGTTGTTGCGGGGATCTTAAGGTTGGCAGAGGTTGAATCTGCTTTTACTGATCATGGGTGGATGCGGTTTTATTCAGGCGCATGATAATGCACTGATATACATAACCATTTGTATAGAGGACATGGATGTGTCTTCATTCCAAAAAAATGTACACCAGTATTTTTGTATTTCCCACATTTTTTTTGCAAAATAATCACGTTTGTATAATACACGTGTGCGAGTGAGTTACATTTCAAGGAATAGAGTGCCCTGTGCACTGCCTGCTCCCCAGATCTTCATGCTGACCATGGACACCACGAAGCTGGAGCTGGGGATTCAGAACACAGACCTGGCACGCAGTGACTACTATGAGAAGTAAGAGTCGTCTTCTTTGGTTCTTTCGGTAAAGTCACGTAGAATGAGAATAAAATAATAAATTGATAAAATAAAATAACACAATAATATTCTCACGACGTTTTTATTATTTTATTCTCATTCTACGTGACTTTACCGAAAGAACCAAAGAAGATGAATCATTGCAGTCACGAAAGCTTTAAATCGAAAAGTAAGAGTCGGTGTGCCTTCACTTGAATGCAATGCCTGCAACACTGCCTATCAATGCAACGCACCTGCACTAAGAGATTAAATGTTTCGTTTTATTGTACTAAATTCGAACGTCCACAGACGCTTATATGACGCTCGATACATAGGGCATTGTTTCTATGTTATGAAAAGTGAGCGGGTTTGGGCAGGGCCGCACGTCTTTAGAAGAGTCGGCGGTCAACAAATGACAACAGAGATGCGTAGCAGCCAATGAACGGAGCTCGTCCGAGAGTACCCAGGAGATGGAGCAATGACATCGGCTCGGTGTCCAGGTGCTCGCGAGATCGTCACGTTGACGGTGCCTTCGGGGAGGCCTTCGTCCGGCAGTGAATCGATCATGGATAATGACGACGACGATGATGACAATGACGATCAAACACCAGCGTCTTTGCAGGTGGGAGACCGAGCATGCCATCCGAATGGCAGTGGAGGCGGACATCCAAGCTCTCCGCAAGATGATCGACGACACCAACGTGGCGCGCCTGAACCTCGAGAGCCGGGTGGAGGCTCTCAAGGAGGAGCTGTCCGTGCTGCGGTACACCCATGCCGAGGTGCACCCCCTGCTCCCCCCGTCCGTTCACCTCATCCGGCGATCCAGCGTGACATTATGATTAAGTACACGACTACATAGCTTACAACAACATAGCTTACGACTACATAGCTTACAACAACATAGCTTACGACTACATAGCATACGACTACATAGCATACGACTACATAGCTTACGACAAGATAGCATACGACAACATAGCATATGACAACATAGCATACGACAACATAGCTTACGACTACATAGCTTACGACTACATAGCTTACCACAACATAGCTTACGACAACATAGCATACGACTACATAGCTTACGACAACATAGCATACGACCACATAGCATACGACAACATAGCATACGACTACATAGCATACGACAACATAGCTTACAACATAGCGTATGACAACATAGCATATGACAACATAGCGTATGACAACATAGCTTACGACAACATAGCATACGACAACATAGCTTACGACTACATAGCTTACGACAACATAGCATATGACAACATAGCGTATGACAACATAGCTTACGACAACATAGCATACGACTACATAGCTTACGGCTACATAGCTTATAACAACATAGCTTACGACAACATAGCATACGACAACATAGCATACGACTACATAGCTTACGACAACATAGCATACGACTACATAGCATACGACTACATAGCTTACGGCTACATAGCTTATAACAACATAGCTTACGACAACATAGCGTATGACAACATAGCATACGACTACATAGCATACGACTACATAGCATACGACTACATAGCATACGACTACATAGCTTACGACAACATAGCTTACGACAACATAGCATACGACAACATTGCAGTGTTACATTATAGACGTGCTATGCTGCTGGGGTTACGTGCTCTCAGAGGGCCATGCGGCCGATGGGTTGTTTCAGAAATACTTTTATGTCTTTTTTTTAGGGCAGACGGATATATGGAAACATTGCTTGTACATTGTTATTTATATTTACCACAACGACGTAAACATCAACATATTTGAATTATATAGGTTGATGTTTACAGAGATCGTGGTTAAGTAAAAACAAAATATCTAGATAGAAAACAAATTTCTGTATTTCTTTAGAACCGATTTCTTTTGTATTCAGTTTGCTGTCCTTCCCCCGAACCTCTGGTTAGCACGGTTGGCTACGTACGGCGCGAGAGAATTTCAACATGCATGAAAAGTGTGCGCTCCATGCTGCGTAAGAGCCAAAGAGGACACTTGAAGGATTTTTTTGGGGTGAAGTCTCGTGAAAAAAACCTCTTCGGCGTGTCCTTCCCCCTGCGCTTTCAATCGCCGCCCTGTGAGATTTCCAAATGGATTCCTCGTCTCGTGACAGAATAGGATAATTTAAGTAAATGACGGTTTAAAAAATGAGAGACAAAATACAGAGGTAAGTTGTCACCGTTGTGTGATACTGATGACGGTGACCGGACTGGAGATGACAAACTTCTCTCGAGCACCGGCATCGCTGTGAAGCTGTGTGTGGACCTCGGTGCTGCAGGAAGTGAAGAAGCTGCTCGTGGAGATTTCCAGCTTCGAGGTCGGCTCGGTGGAGGTGGACAGCGGCACAAAAGACATCGATCTCAACAAGGCCCTGGCAGAGATCCGCAGGCAGTACGAGGATCTCTGCCGCCAGAATGCGGTACAGGTGGAGAGCAGCTACCTGGAGACGGTAAATATATAATACAATTATTGGTAATGATTAAAGTTACATTTTTTTTCCTACGTCTGACGTTGACACATCATGTTTTGAATGTGTTGCATTACATAGCTTAAGAAAACGTATGTTTTTTTTCCCCCTGTCTGGACAGTTTTTGCTGCTTTAACCCATCAGGAACATGGTTAGCTTTTTTAGCGTTACAGATTCACACACCCAACAACCCAATCACCCACCCACTCACCTACCAATTCCACTGACCTACCCACCCACCGAGTCACACACTCAGCCACCCAAGCACCCACCCACCTGCCTAGCTACCCCTACCCAGCTAGCCACCCTCTGACCCACCTAACTTCTCACGCGAAATTAGCTATACAGTAAATTCGATCTTGAGTGTTTTTTTACATGCATGTGCACATGCGTGTATGCTTGTATGCTCTGTCCTGCGCAGATTACCATCACCAACACTAAGGTCACTGAGAAAATGCAGGCGCTGGAGAAATACCGCGTGGAACTCAACGAACTGAGACGCACAACTCAAGTCCTCTTCCTGGATTTGGAGAATATGCGCTCCAAGGCAATTCCATTATGCACACACATCTTGTTTAGATCCTGCACTCAGCCCAAAGTACCCAGAGACAACAGCTTTATCCAAGCTTGCAAGGACGCGCTGTCGGTGCCCAGTATCGGATTCAAAAAGCCTTTGCCCAGCTCGCGTGCACACGCAGAGCATCAACGTTTCGTAACACTGTTCGACCGAACCTCACGTCACCACAGCCGCTACATCAATCGTCTGATGTATGGGGGGTGGCACGTGCCCCCCAATGATTCGATCAAAATCCCTAATTTCGATCGGATCATTGGGGTTTATTAATAATAAATCGGTGTAGCATATTATTACGTGCCAGGGACTCTATGAGATGATAAGACAATAGTCTGAGTCCATAATTGGCAAAAAAAAGTAACGGCAAAGCAGTTATAAGCGACTCAGAATTGTGTGCAGTTGCGTATACAGGACACGACTTCCATGAAGGCATTCACCTTCAGCGAGCGCGATGCCGATCACACCACGCGGTTCGAATTCGGCCCTCGATCGATGGCTGCGCCATCGCCGCACACCCGTCGAATAAAAAGCAAGGGACAAGTCCTTACTAACAACTCCTCTGTCATTTTTCATTGCTGGAGGGGTTGCCCCCCCCCCCCCCCACCTGAAAATCCTGGCTGCGCCATTGCCCCCAGGAGTACACGGAGCACATGGTGGGAACCACCGCAATAGATTGAAGATTCTGAGATTAAGAGGCGCATGACATGGACATGGAAGTCCTCTTCTTAATTTGTTCTCAAAACGGCACACCACAATTCAATTGCAAAATGTTTGTATGTTGAACTTCTTTTGCACGTGGCCGGCCGTACTGACATCATATTTTAATCTTGACTTGAAGCTTTTTGGTTATTTCGGTAAAGTCACGTCGGTAGCCGCGATGTCTGCAGCAGACACCGCGGCTATCGCGATTTTCACGTGAAGCCGAACGCTTGTACATCATTAGACCTCCTTTGCCAGTACCAAAATGTAATAATTGGGTTTTTCCCCTTTTTTTCTGGCAGCAAAACTGAAACTTTTTTCAGTTTTCTGGCAACAAAACTGAAACCTTTTTCAGTCATTAACAAAACTGAAACCTTTTTCAGTTCTGTTGCCAGAAAAAAGGGGGAAAACCCTATTATTACGAACGCTTGTGTTGCGTTCGAAACGTCGTGATTTATTTTGTTTTATTTCTACCTTACGTGACTTTTAACGAAAGAACCAAAGACATATCATGTTTTTTAATTATTGGCTCCCTTATAACCTAAATGTAACCCTGTTAGCTACACCACCGCCTTAATATTCCACGTTCTTCAAGCACTGCTCACTCACAGCACTTGGCACGGCAAGCTGTAGATGTAATATTAATTTCGTTGTGGTTTGTGCACTGCACTACAAACAAAATTATTGTTTTGTTCGATTCTAACCATTGGTTAACATCAGTGGCAAGTGGAATCTGAACATATCTTTGGCTTCCCCTTGGCCAACTCGGCCTTCAACGGGTAGCACTTGTGGTATGAATAGATCAGCACTTAGGGTAGAAAGTCAGTTTGGCGTGGCAATGGCCATGCCACCCTTTCGCGTATGCTGTGCCATTTTGAATTCGTGCTCACTAACAACATTTGCCCTACCACTCTTTCATGCTAAACGGAGGTTCTCTGTGTGTGTGTCTGTGTTTTTTGTGTGTGCGCACACACACACACGTCGGCATGCGATTTCCCGTATGCAGAAACTGAGCCTTGAGAATGCCAATGCGGATATGTCGGCTCGCTACGAAATGGAGGTGTCGAGCCTGCGTGACATGGTGATCATGCTCGACAAGATCTTGGTGGACGTCAACATGGACCTGGAACGGCAGCGCTCCGAGTACGAAATGCTGACCAATGCCAAGATGCGTCTGGAGCAGGAGATCGCCTACTACAGCAGTCTGCTGGACCAGGAGGGTCAGATTTCTGTGGACGGCAGAAAGTGAGTGGCAGGAGGGACAGCAGTTGTGTACGCGAGTCGATGCAACTTCGTAACAAACCACGCAAACGCACGGCCGATCCAACATGCATGGCCGTTTAAAAGGAATATGCAACCTGAAATGAATTCCGATCTCTTATTGTAGTCATACGCACTGATGTTTTGGTTTTTCCCGGTTTAATTCATGTTGATGAGAAAAAAATACTTTAAATTTGCATTCAGGTATAATTTAGTTACATGACTGTGGGTGATAAGTCTGCCTGTATGTTTCTGGTTTATTATTCATTCTTTTTATCATACTTCTTCAGACGGCCTATCCGTGTAATTTCTAAATAGGATCCATTTATTTATTAAGTGGCATTCTTCTTGAATATTTTATGAAACGATATTCTCCCTGTTTCAGGGACCAATATGTATATACACAACAGGACCTAATTTCACGATTCACTTGACAAATATAAATGAAGACTTTTGAGATTTACAGATGCCACTTCAGCAAAAAGTTGGCATTTCATGTTCAGCAAAAATGTGTGGTATATTTAGAAAACTACCTATAAACCTAATTCACAATATATTCTAGGTTGAAGTGGTAATTACATGTATTCTAATTGTTAATATGTATTACAGCAGTGATGATGATGATGATTCCCCTCTTGCTTTTAGTTTTGGGTCAACAACAACAACCATTACCCACATCAAGCATACCAACTGAAGCAGCATATGCAACAGGTACAATAGCTTTTAGGCATGCAAATTTTCATCGATTTGTCAACAAAAGTAGATTGCTACATTTACACATATGTGCATGGATTTGTGTGTGGGAAATTGTGTTTGACATTTGTAAATGGAATTTGAATCATGGGCTAACGGAGCAAAGTAACTGTAGAACCTGCAGTGACCAGCACAGTGAATTACGGTCAAACAATCTCCACCACATAGGGAGGCCCTCATCCAGTATGGTTAAATTTGACTGAATGTGTCAAACTGAATGTTTTGCTTTATATTGCTGTATTTGTCCAACACTGTTTAACATTGCTCTGACCTTTTTTAATATCATGTGTATCGTGCGTTTTTTATCTTCCTATTACGCCACGCCTCATGTGGGAGTCAGATGTTGGTCTCAATTGGTTCTCACCTGGTTTTTAATTAAGGAACTTGACCGATGTGTTTTGCTGTGTTCATCGTTTTCCAGGCACACCTCTGCTCTGGATTGCAGTCATGCCAAGACAACGAAATTAATTTAGCATTTTTTGTTGACATGAAAACATTAAAGTGGAGCATGCGCCCCCTAGCGTGGACAGAAATATATTATCACATAGGCCATGTCATGAATTTAAAAAAAAATTAAGCGCGTTGTTCATCATGCTATACGGTGCATTCATTAAATGTGTGGCCAACTCCTTCACCACAAAGCTACTGTGGTGTTTTTTTCTTCCCCCAATTGATAATTTTCCTTTGCTTTGTGAAACTGAAATGTGCTCCTTTAGCTGACTATCTCTCCAATATGGCATGCATGTGTGTGGCACAGACACAAACATTACAGCTTGTTTAAATACAAAATAAGATTGCTGTTTGCATATATGTGTCAATAAAGTTAGGATATATAATATATGTGGTGTCTCTTGTTGCCTCTCGTATAATTTAAGATGAATACAAATCGCACTCAAATCGCACTCTCCCTGGGCTAGAGTGGGGATTAGTGTAAAGCGACACAACTTCAATCGTGTCACTCTGTGCACGAGGCTCCACAGAAGAAAAGCTTTTATTTCTGCTGTTGAATCACGTCCCTCTGTGCCAGGAGACAATCGGAGCTGCAGTTAGACAAGCGGAGTTGCAGTTAGACAAGCGGAGTTGCAGATAGACAATCGGAGCTGCAGATCGACAAATAGAGATGCAGTTAGACAATCGGAGCTGCAGATCGACAAATAGAGATGCAGTTAGACAAACGGAGTTGCAGATCGACAAATAGAGTTGCAGTTAGACAAGCGGAGTTGCAGTTAGACAAACGGAGCTGCAGATCGACAAATAGAGATGCAGATAGACAATCGGAGTTGCAGATAGACAATCGGAGTTGCAGATCGACAAATAGAGTTGCAGTTAGACAATCGGAGTTGCAGTTAGACAATCGGAGTTGCAGATCGACAAATAGAGATGCAGATAGACAATCGGAGTTGCAGTTAGACAAGCGGAGTTGCAGATAGACAATCGGAGTTGCAGATCGACAAATAGAGTTGCAGATAGACAAGCGGAGTTGCAGTTAGACAATCGGAGTTGCAGGTAGACAATCGGAGTTGCAGTTAGACAATCGGAGTTGCAGTTAGACAATCGGAGTTGCAGTTAGACAAATGGGCTGCAGGTAAACAGGCGGTGCAGCAGGGTGACAAGTGGAGCTGCAGAAATTAAAATAAGCTGCAGAGGGTCAAACCGCGATGGATTGAAGAGTTTTATTTAATTAGATATTTTGTTTGTTTGTAGGTGTACTGACGTGATTTTTTTTAGTAGTAAATCATATTTGGCCTATCGCGTATAAATATATAGGAGACCAAATGCTCTAAACGAATGTCTCTAAATGTGGAGGGAAAAAACCGGAAGACCGAGTCAAAAAATCCACGTGACCACGGGGAAAACATTTGACACTCCAAATATACAGCAGGCTTCAGTTTCGCGTATCGAACCCATGTTCTGTATACCGGGCGAGGTAGTTAACATCTCGCCACCGTGATGTTGACTAACAAACACACACACACACAGAAAGATCCTTCGTATAGCATGAAACACTGGTGCAGCAAATGTTATTAGCGAGCACGAATTCAACATGGCACAGCATATGCGAAAGGGTGGCATGGCCACGCAGTGGCGTGGCCATTTCCTCCGATAATCCATGGCATAACGCGCTGGGCGCAAATATCTTCGTGGATTACTCGATCAATATCCCGAGTGCTTGCTTTTTAAATTTCGTCCGTACGAGCATCTGCTGCAAATGCGAGGGGCACTATTTATCACTTACACGGTAACTTTCAAATCAAACATTTGCCCAGAGTCAGAAAAAAAAGTTCAGTTTATTTTACTGCTGTTCCCGTCATTAAACTATAAACTCTCAGTCAACAACCCCGTTTGCCGTAAAGGTGCAACCCTTATCTGGGGGAAGTGTAACCTTGAAAGGGTCACGAAATCAGCCGAGCATGCCACTGCATTCCCATACACCACTTTCACTAAGAAACATCATTATATGACAAGATACACCACATCCAAGATGGGCAACGTCATTAGATTATATTTGAACCAATTTTATACTTTCATATATGGACCGACTGTTCACGCTTAACCCTTAGGCTAATACGACCACCACTAAACACCACGCTTCAATGCCACCCGCTGCACAACCCCCAGTAGCGTTACAATTAAATTACTTTTAAGAGAGACTTAAAGGCCCCACCTCTCTCACCTGGCTTTCAGGTGACCCTGAGGTTGACCTCGTGCCTGAAGAGTGATGGCCATTTGTGTCCGTGAAATATTACACGCATCACAAATTGTATTATCGTCTAAATCATGACTTAAAGCGTTCGTGACTGCAGGAATTCATATCCTTTGGGTCTTTTGGTAAAGTCACGTAGATACGCTCAAAGAAAATAACAAAAAAAACCTATCTACGTGACTTTACCGATAGACCCATAGAATATGCATTATCGTCATTAAAGTTGCCCGCGATGCACGCAATTCAATGTTTCCCATTTAATGGGTACATCACTCAAGGCTGAAACGATATTTTGACACCCCTCAATCGTGCCATGCCACGTGTTGCCTCTTCTTTCCCTTGACCCACATTTAGGCCAGGCCTCGAAGGCTGGTGGACAGGGAAACCACCCAGGGTGAAAATTGCAAAGTTGTAAATGGTTGGGGAAATGTGCGAATGGTCACGAGAGAGAGAGATATACATTTGAGACAAGCACCACACTTACCCACTTCTGCTTAAGTCTGGTAAAGGATCAAAGAGTTTTGTTTGTCCCGGGCGCAACGTATGATCAGGCGGCCTCTCAGCACATGGATGGGTCGTCATATAGTAACCGTAAGCTGTAACGGACACCTGATCATAGGTCACTATCGGCCCCTTTGGAGAGGCAGCTCACACACACAACAGTGTACCCAACGTAATGATTAATCCAGGCAGATTAATCAAATGGTGGTACTGCCTTTCACTAATCTGCACCATTACAGAACGTGTGTAACAATCTTCACCTCTGCGGGTCTGAAGCACAGAGGCATACATGCTCGCAGACAAAAGCAATTGCTTCTCTTAAAATATATACACAAAAACGCTTACAGGAGGAGAAATTCTTATTTGAAGTCTGGACATTACTATTATTACACATCCACTGATTGCTGTAGGCTGCTGTAGATGTCCTTAATAAGAACAATCTACAGCCCTTAGTCAGTAATGGTGGTTGTTTGACCATACCTCACCACACTGGTCATTGTGGGCTGGTCAAATGTTTTTTGGCGCTTACGTTAGCCGTGGCCGCAAATTTCATTCATGTCGCTAAGTTAATCATGCGGCGCATTAACGGGCTGTCCATAAATGACGTCACGCACCTGGGGGGGGGGGGTCAGACATTTGTGACGATGTGTGACGAGGGGGGGGGTTTGAGAAATGTGACGTCACATAAAAATGCGCAACTTTAAATAAATATAGACAACACGTTCTACTTAATTAAATAGACGTTTTAATAAATGTTTTCTCCTACAACATCAGACTGCAGCGCCACATTAAAATACGCACTACAATGACAATAGTTTAAAGAGATTTGAAGCATATTCTTGGTTCTTTCGGTAAAGTAACGTAGAACGGAAACAATAAAATAATAAAAATATAAAACAATACAATTCTCACGACGTTTCGACTGCAACACAAGCATTCATCATCAGGTGTGAAAACCACAGCAAGAGTTTGTTGAAGGATCTCAAAGTTATGTGGAAACCCTCCCCGTAGAGGCGGTTAAATTTTGATTCAAAACTTTCGTGACTGCAGGGATTCATATTCTGGGTTCTTTCGGTAAAGTCACCACGTAGAAGGGAAACAATATATTGTTTTACATTTTTATTATTTTATTGTTTCCCTTCTACGTGACTTTACCGAAAGAACCAAGAATATGAATCCCTGCAGTCACGAAAGCTTTAAATCGATTTGAAGCATGTTTTATTTTTGGGGGGACGGGGGGGGGCAGAGGTTTGTGACGTCATATTTGAGGGGGGGTCTGACTTTTTGTGACACCATGTGACGAAGGGGGGGGGGGGTAAAAAAAATCGTCCAAAATCGCGTAACGTCATTTATAGACGGCCCCTAACCACGGCACCACCACTCCCCCACGATGTGTGTTATCAGCGGTGTTAATGTGTCCTTGTAGTGCGTGACCAATAGAGCCAAGAGAGAGAATATGCACTGATATGTTTAATTCTCTGCGCTGTCCGCATGCAAAAAAATATGCCACTCATATCCTTGTATTTGTTCCATGACTTCAAATTTACACAAAGTTTTACTCATGCCTCACTGATGCAATTTGTGGAGAATAATTTCCCTTTTAATTGCTTTAGAAAAAAATACCCATTGCAATCATTGCAATTGGACCGGGCTTACCGAAGTTCCCTTAAAAAAAAGGAATATAAAAAAGTATAACCGCGGAAAAAATGCAAGGCCCAGAGCTTTTAGCTGTAAAGTGTGGTTTTTATTTCCTTTAAACTTCAGAGCCTGCAGCAAACGCCTCTGCACGAGTTAGTCAAACTTGCAAAACGTGGAACCCGTGCAACAGAGTGGTTAATCTTTAAAAGGCAAAACCGAAATGATCTTACGGTGACACTAAACGTTTACGGCGCACGACAAAAAATAATGATGGGCATTTTAGATACGCCCACATCGCAGTAAACATTAACCTAGAAATGTGCTTACACCACGCCGCTTCCATTGCAAGCGTGGCTCATTGGCGTGTGGGCGGAGGTGGCTCCGAGGTGAAGGAGACGGATCGATGTAGTGAATCATAAGAAAGAGCAAAAGCTTTTTTTAAGCCAAAGATAATGTTTGCCCAATTCTGACAAATCGCCTGATACAGCTGGTTGCAATCACCAGCGAAACGTCTTACTCAAATTGCAAATGCCGCGGTTTTACTCTCCAGCACACCGGTGTGCTGAAATAGTAACTAATTGTAACTAATTGGCACGTTTTGTTTAAGTGACAAACCTTGCTCATTGACTGTGTTGGGGGGGGGGGGGGGGTTAACGACACATTTATATTGACGCGATCTAACCCAAAAAAAACCTTTATTATGAATAATATTGGTCGCGAAGGGATAAACATATTAAAAAAATGGTAACTTTGTGCATATTTTGGTCACCGACCTGTCCATCACAATTACTTATTGACGGCGCTTCTCAGCAGTGCAGTGTGGATTGAAACAATGCAGTGCTTAACAATTATAGTTTCACAGTAAGAGGTGTTGTAAACTAGTGGTCCTCTGTTCTCAGGTCAAGACCTGAATCTTAGTCTGTCTTGCACCGACTGAAACCCAAGGAACTTGGCTGACATTACGACGACATGGACAGTCACAATATTTCATGAAAAAT